TAAATAAATAATAAGAAGAATGAATAAAAATATAAAGAATTATTAAAAGAAATATCTAATTAAAAATATTAATAATTCAAATTAATAATATAGATACATATGATAATTATCTGTATGATAATATGCTAAATCTAATATATTAAATATATAATAATTATTTGTATATCCAAAATGAAATTAATTTTCAATAAAAAGTAATATAAAGCTGATCTGTAATACAAATAGTGCAAAATGAAGATCTAAGCTAAAGGAAAATATAATTTAATCAAAATTATTACAAGTTATATCTATCTTAGGCTAATAATTTAGCAGATAATATATTGATAATCTCTTTCTATGTGATATACTAATAAATATAATGCTGTTTTTAAATTAATTTAACCAATTATCTAATGCTTTGAACTTATTAATTTGAAGAAACTTGATAAATATTAATCTTTATTTTAATAATATTACCTATTAGATCTTGATAGCTTAATATAGTATTTTATATTCAGATAGCAAGTGTCATATCATGCTGAGATCATTTGGAACCACAATTTTAATGGTATTTACATCTTGAGAGTCAGATATTATAGCTAATCATTTATCTGATTGTTTTAAAACATCTGAAATTACAGATTCACCACAGTTGAACTCAACTGCAAGCTCATAGTTTTTTAAGTATGGGTTTTTTTGAAGATAAATTTCTTTTTTTGATATTAGTTTTATTAAAAGATAAGAGAAATATAAAGAGGTCATGCTTTTACTTACCAATTAATGTGATGTAGCGTGAACTAGGGGATGAAATAATCTTTGAGATTAGGTAGTTGATAATGCATTTGCAGCTTAGGAATTAGGTAAGCACATAGTTTATTTTTGATAAACAATTTGGATAACCAGCATTCAAATAACAAGTAAACATTGCGCGAGAAGTAAGAAAGTTGGAAAAATGTTCAGATGAAACATAGCCAGAATAAATATAGTAATATGAGAATAAATTTGTTAATTAATAAGTAACACAACAGATCATTATCAATTCACCAATAAAACGAATATAGTAAGTAGCATTTGGGACATTAGAAAGAAAAAATAAATTTAGCAGAACCGATATAGTGCTTTATTAATATATTTCGGTGTATCGGATATTTTTTCTTATTAAAAATCGGGACCCTAATTTTGCATCAGTAAAAGCCGACTTCACTATATACAGCGACGTTATAGAGGGCTTTCACTGTATAGAGAGTGAAAGATGTTTGTTGATCTTGTCTTGTGAGTAAAATCAATTAGGGTTGGCCATCCATAATTTCAAAGTTTTGCGAGTTGTTTAAAATGTGTAAAAACAAGACCTTGTGTAGAACACGAAGCTACATGGTAATGTTCGACTTGATATTCTTGAATTTTTAAATATATTATTGCTTTTGAAATATCAGATTCAATATTAATATTATCCACAAGATAAGTTTTCATAGGTCCCTGAACCCTGTATTGAATATTTGTCATTTCTTTCTTGTTACTTTTTGTATATTTGATCCAAGACCGAGCTTATTTGTTCCATACTATTTCACTGCTTTGACAATTGTGTTTTGATGAATAATTTTTGATCGCTTCTTGCTTAATCAAATCTTGAATCGCTTGTAGATGTTTTAATTGATCGCTATCTTCTATAATATGTTCATGATTAAAAGAATCATTATGACGTTCAAGATGAACTAATTGCGAGGAAATCAATCACGAAACTTTGATTTTTGCATGATATAATCGAATGGTCGAATTATGATTTTCCTACGCTTATCAACTGAAATTTTTTTTTGTGTTTGAAAACTAAGCTTTTCAAGAATTTTAAATTTTTATTTTTTTAATATTTTGCTTATTTAGTTCGATATTTAAAAATCAAAAGTGTCCGTAATATTCTGCTAGGACTCTGTAATTAAAAAAATGTATTAGTGGTGATTACTTTTGAACACTGTATATTTAGAATTTTTCTTAATTTATTTCGAGATTGCAGACACACTTCTCGAAAAGTTACAGAGTATGATATGGTTAAAAAATAAATAATAAAATAAAATAAAAAAATAAACTTTTAAAATTCGATCTCTTATAGTGCCGTCATATGATTTATGTACTGATAAGATTTAATAGAAAAGTTTTAAACCATAATGACCGGGGCTGTTCCAAGAATGTAATCGCTATTTTCGGAGCTTGAAGTGTCGATCGCCACCAAACAAGTAAGCTGATTGAATCCATTTAAGGTTCCACCAACTACTAGGGGGGTAACCGGGCTTGAAAAAGGCACGCCTAAAGTAACAATACTGTCGAGATCTAAATGTATTATACCGTGATTAGTTGGGTCGACGACATGGACATCTAAGTTTGGTGGACTCACGACGTCATCACAATTTTCACAGCAAGCCTTGGCTTTGGTTAGAT